GGACGCTGCCACAGCATGGCTTGCCAAACAGTGTGTCGGTGCACGCCCGGGATCCGAACCGGCGAATCCCGGGCCGCCGCAGCGGAGCGCGAGCACTTAACCGCTTGCGCCACCAGGCTGGCCCCTGTAGAATATTTCTTAATATCAGAGGCACCACTTTTTTTTTAATATTTCCCTAATTGTCTTTTGTTTTTTTTCCTTCTAACTTAGTTTAAATTGGGATCCAAACACATTCAAATAAGGTCCATAGATTGCAGTTGATTATCTCAAGTCTTTTAATTATAGATTCTCCCTCCATCTCTGTTGGGTTTTTTCTTTCCTTCCTTACAATTTCCTAAGAAGAAATTGGGTCATTTGTCCAGTAGAGTTTCCCACAGTCTGGATTTTGCTGATTGTATCCTCTTGGTGTTTTTTAGCATGGTTCTCTATCCCTTTTACTTCCAGTAAAATGTAGGTGAATTCAAGTTTGATTCCTAACCACCCACTGACCCTGAAACTACTTTGCAGGTGGTTTTGAGTACTTCTGACAGATTATATAGTCAGTAGTACATCAAAGTTGGGGGTAGGAGGAAATGGGAGCCTCTGCCCAGAGTACAGGCAGTAACTGGGTCCATTATCTGTTGAGAATTTAAAAACAAGCAATCCACTACAAATTAGTCTGCTTTTTATTATCACCTTATACAGGCAATTCTAAACAATGTCTGATAAAATATTCATCCCTATCAGGGCAAATGTACACATACACCACTTTTCATAATATGCAATTCTCTCTTGTTTTTTTGTTTTGTTTTTTTTTGGTGAGGAAGATCAGCCCTGTGCTAACATCTGCCAATCCTCCTCTTTTTTGCTGAGGAAGACTGGCCTTGGGCTAACATCCATGCCCAGCTTCCTCTACTTTATATGGAACGCCACCATAGCATGGCTCACCAAGCAGTGCATTGGTGCGTGCCGGGGATCCAAACCGGCGAACCCCGGGCTGCCGCAGCGGAGCGCGCGCACTTAACCGCTTGCGCCACTGGGCTGGCCCCAAATCCTCCTCTTTTTTTGCTGAGAAAGACTGGCCCTGGGCTAACGTCCGTGCCCATCTTCCTCCCCTTTATATGAGACGCCGCCACAGCATGGCTTGCCAAGCCGTACGTTGGTGTGCGGGCCCCCAATTTTCTCTTTTTAAAATGTTATCAGCCGTTAATGATCCACATCCATTACTTCCTTTGTGGTTGTTTTGTGAGGGTGATAGTCTCATTATATCATTCCTTCCTGGAGTAAAGATAGCTTGCCTATTGGCTAACCCTAGGTACAAATGATACAGAAAAGGTAGGGATAGGGGCCGGCCTGGTGGTGTAGTGGTTAAGTGCTCGCGCCCCGCTTCAGCGGCCCAAGGGTTCGCAGGTTCGGATCCCTGGCACGCATCGACGCACTGCTTGTCAAGCCATGCTGTGGCGGCGTCCCATATAAAATAGAGGAAGATGGGCACGAATCTCAGCCCGGGGCCAATCTTCCTTGGCAAAAAGAGGAGGATTGGAATCGGATGTTAGCTCAGGGCTGATCTTCTTCCCCAAAAAAAGGAAAAGGTAGGGATAAAGGTGTAATTCTTTCGTTTTATTTACCAGTTTTCAAGATAATGAGGTGGTTTCCTAACATCCTGCAAAGATGACCCAAAAGAGGATTTTTTTGGGTTTGTTTTTTAGTTTTATTATGAACTCATGGATTTAAACATATTCTGGTTTTTTTTTTGTTTGTGAGGAAGATCGGCCCTAAGCTAATATCTGCCAATCTTCCTCTTTTTGCTGAGGAAGACTGGCCCTGGGCTAACATTCATGCCCATCTTCCTCCACTTTATATGGGACGCCGCCATAGCATGCCTTGACAAGCAGTGCCTCAGTGCGTGCCCGGGATCTGAACCGGTGAACCCCGGGCCGCCGCAGCGGAGCGCGCACACTTACCGTTTGTGCCACCGGGCTGGCCCCTAAACATATTCTGTTTTAATCCATTATGGTTATCCTTCTTATTCCTTTTCAAACTGTTCAGTCTTTGTCCAGTGGGAGTTTATTCAGGTTAATTCTTGAGTCTTTTTGACACAACCATAGTGGTCTTTGATTTTCTGGTTCCAGGCTCATCCTGTTCATTTCCTGCTGCAGACCTGGAATCAGCCATTTCTCTGAGTAGTATTAGTTCCTTTTAGTGGAAAATGATATTTAGAGACTACAGTTTGTGTGTTAAGGGGCACATTTTAAATGGGCCATGTTAGTTATTGTTTCTTATGCTGTATGATTTATTCATATGTATGCTGTCCTTAATCTCCATACTTGAGAATTCTGACATATATACTTCCCAGTGGAACATATCACTTTTTTCCATTCTTTCCCTCTCTATTAATGTCA